TAGAGGGGCTGGATGTTGTCGAGCGCGCAGCTCGGGGGCTCAATCTGAGTGACAGGCGCAGCACTTTGGAGACGGGGCATAGTTTTCGTGGCCGGCGCAATGTTTTCTGCATCTGGGTGTGTGTTTGCGTGGCAGGGGCAGCATGCGGCAGCTGTCTAGAGGGGCTGGATGTGATCGAGCGCGCAGCTCGGGGGCTCAATCTGCGTGACAGGCGCAGCACTTTGGAGACGGGGCATAGTTTTCGTGGCCGGCACAGTATTTTCTGCATCTGGGTGTGTGTTTGCGTGGCAGGGGCAGCATTTGGTAGCTGTCTAAAGGGACTGGATGTTGTCGAGCGCGCGGCTCGGGGGCTCAATCTGCGTGACAGGCGCAGCACTTTGGAGATGGCGCACAGATTTCGTGGCAGGCGCAGTATTTTCTGCATCTGGGTGTGTGTTTGCGTGGCAGGGGCTCGGGGGCTCAATCTGCGTGACAGGCGCAGCACTTTGGAGATGGTTTGCAAATTTCGTGGCAGGCGCAGTATTTTCTGCATCTGGGTGTGTGTTTGCGTGGCAGGGGCAGCGTTTGGTAGCTGTCTAAGGGACTGGATGTTGTCGAGCGCGCGGCTCGAGGGCTCAATCTGCGTGACAGGCGCAGCACTTTGGAGATGGCTTGCAAATTTCGTGGCAGGCGCAGTATTCTCTGCATCTGGGTGTGTGTTTGCGTGGCAGGGGCAGCATTTGGTAGCTGTCTAAAGGGACTGGATGTTGTCGAGCGCGCGGCTCGGGGGCTCAATCTGCGCGACAGGCGCAGCACTTTGGAGATGGCTTGCAAATTTCGTGGCAAGCGCAGTATTTTCTGCATCTGGGTGTGTGTTTGCGTGGCAGGGGCAACATGTGGCAGCTGTCTTTCGTCCAGACTCACTTGCACTCATTCACACTCACTCACTCTCACTCAGGCTTACAGACTTCCAGCTCAGGCTTATTAGAGCTCGAGCTCAGGCTTATTAGACTTCCAGCTGTCTGAAGAAGAGGAAGCCGTGAATAATCTAGCGCCTGACTCTGCCTCGCGAGCAAAAAGAAGAGAGCGCTACCACGTGGCCACTCACTCACTCACTCAGTCATTATCGCATGGCCACCAGAGAACCATTCACTGAAAAAATGCGCATGTGGGGTTATCCGGTCCTTTAACTTGTTGATGCTGTTGCTGTTGCTGGTTCTTGCGGTTGTTGCCGTCGTTCTTGTTGTTGCTGTTGCTGTTGCAGTCGCTGCTGGTGTTGTTGGTGCTGTGGCTGTTTCTGTTGCTGTTGCTGCTGCTGCTGTTGTTGCTGCTGTTGTTGTTGGTGTTCTTGTTGTTGCTGCTGCTGGTGTTGTTGTTGTTGTTGCGCTTGTTGTTGTTGTTGTTATTGTTATTGTTATTGTTCTTGTCATTGTTATTGTTATTGCTATTGCTATTGCAATTGCAATTGCAATTGCTACTGTTATTGTCATTGTTATTGTTATTGTTCTTGTTGTTGTTGTTGCTTTGATTTTGTTGTTGTTGTTGCTGTTATTGTTGTTGTTCTTGTTGTTGCCCCTGTGAATGTTCTGGTTGTTCTTGTTGTTAGTACCACTGTTGTTGTTGTTGTTGTTGTTATTGTTGTTCTTTCTTGTTGTTCTTTCTTGTTGGTCTTTCTTGTTGTTCTTGTTGTTGTTGCTGTTGTCGTTGCTGTTGCTGTTGCTCTTTCTGTTGTCCTTGTGATTGTTATTTGTTGTTGCTGCTGTTCTTGTTGTTCTTGTTGTTGTTGCTGTTAGTGTTGTTGTTCTTGTTGTTGCTCCTGATACTGTTCTGGTTGTTCTTGTTGTTAGTAACGCTGCTGTTGCTGCTGTTGATGTTGTTGTTGCTTGTTTGTTGTTGTTCTTGTTGTTCTTGTTGTTGATGTTGTCGTTGTTGTTGCTGTTGTTCTCTTTGTTGTCCTTGTTGTTGTTATTGCGCTTGTTGTTGCTCCTGTTCTTGTTCTTGCTGTTAGTGTTGTTGTTCTTGTTGTTGCCCCTGGCTGTTCTGTTTGCGCTTGTTGATATTACCGCTGTTGTTGCTTCTTGTCTTGTTGCTGCTGTTGTTGTTGGTGCCGTTGTTGTTGCTGTTCTTGTTGCTGCTGTTGTTGGTGTTCCTGCTGTTGCGCTCGTTGTTGTTGCTGCTAGTGTTGTTGTTCTTGTTGTTGCCCCTGGTACTGTTCTTGTTGTTCTTGTTGTTGTTGCTGATGTTGTTGGTGGTGTTGTTGCAGTTGTTGGCTCAACGTGGGGGTTTGCCCGGGATTTTAGCAGCGCAACATATTGTAAACCGCAGCACGTCGGACATGTGACTCCCAATTCGTCCCTGTTGCCAGGACATTTGGCTGTCGGCAGAGTCGAAACTATACCTGCGTTCGTTGTCTTGTCATCAGTGCGTTGCAGCCTTGTGACATACGATGCCTTGGCACATACCGCGGCAGTGCTGTAGAACGCAGCAAATATTACACATATCATTGGGCATGCGCATTTCT